GAAGACCCGGTGGCGGTGCTAAGTCGAAGGGCATCGGTGCAGTGGAGGCGTTGGCCGGTGGCGGCTCTTCCTGTCATTGGCAGCGCCCCCTTTGTGATTGGTTAGGGTTTAGGACTGTAGGTGGGGTGCTAGGCGGCTCAGGTGAACCTCGTGCTTGGCGCCCCGGCCCCCACCTCCTATTTATGGCGCTGTGTGACGGGGGCCCACCAACGATATTAGGGTTGGGCGCCCCCGATCAGGGCACGGATCCAAGGGCCCAATTGGCCGGGTGGAGATCAACTAACATTTGGGTCACAAGAAACGAAGTAGTGTTCTACATTTGTAGACCAAAAACGTTCTTGAACGCATTGGCTTCGGCAATGAGCACAACTACAGCGTCACAATGACTAAGAGTTGATCCTTCAGGCTGCTCGGTTACTGGAGGAGGCCGCATTGCGCTTTTTTGCGTCATTTGGCTGGTTATCTACTCGTCGGATTGGTCACCATTAGTGACACTCTGGTGTTTGTTTAAATTCAGCTCGGACGCGTTTGTTGTAATAATTTGGTCTGATTCTACCCTAAGTAGATGAAGCCGGATATTCATCATTTATCTAAAAAAATAGAAGTCGGTTTTCTAGAAAGGAAAAAAACATGTTTTTTTCTTGGCTCTTTTCAGGCGTCCAACCTAGTTATGTTATTGCCAAGTTCTTTAATGTTTTATTTAAGTTATATTGCTCAAAACCTCTGCTTTATTTGTAATCACCACCTTTGGTGGTGCCATCAAACTAAATACAGGGTGGCAAAGGAATAGGAGTCCTAATCTGCTTGGATATTGGAGTTGTAGCATCAGACGGCTCTTGGTCTTTATAAGGGGCCGTTTGGCACGGCTCCAAGAATGGCTTCAGGAGCCGTTTTACAGCTTCGTGAACCAAACGCCTCCGCACCGTTTGGCTCCCGGGAAGAAGCTCTGCAATTTCCACTGAGGCGAGCTAGGAGAGAGAAGAGGAGCCAAAAAACCTGCTTCTCCTAGCTCCGTCTCAATCTGGTAGACCCCATCACGCCCATGGTAAGTCTGCCCCGTGGGAAGGCAAGGCCGGTGCGGGGAGGGACGACGGCGTGGCCGTGCGGAGAGTGGTGGAGGTGGCGCGCTCGTTGGATCACAGGGCACGCGCGCAGGGGCACCGTGGCTGCACAGCATTGGGAGAGGCTTGCGGCCATCGCCGCTTCCAGCAGTCGGGCCATTGGGTCGTGCTCGCGTTGAGGCGTCGGGTCGCGGGGGTGTCGTCGTGTCAAGCTGCGGGCATGCGGGCAGGGCATCCATCCGATGGAGAAGAATGTGCGGTGGAGAAGACAGAGAAAGAAAATATGCGGGCAGGGCGTCCATCCACCACATGATCGAGGACGACTGCGCCGACAACGGCATCCCGCTCCCCAACGTCAATTCCAAGATTATCGCCAAGGTCATCGAGTACTGAAACAAGCACATCCACGCCGCTGCAGCAGACACCACCAACGCCTGGGGCGGCGAGGACCTCAAGAACTGGGACGCCGAGTTCGTCAAGGTCGACCAGGCTACTCTCTTCGATCTCATCCTGGCTGCCAACTATCTGAACATCAAGGGATTGCTGGACCTGACCTGCCAGCACTACTGGAGGCGCCCTCTTTGCCAAGGGCCCAGGGCACTCGGCAAAGGCCCAAAAGCCCTCGGCAAAGGCTTTGCCGAGTACCGCCCTCGGCAAAGAGCCATCGGAAAAAAATTTAACGGCAAAGAGCCACTTTGCCGAGGGCCATTTGTCGGGCACTCGGCAAATCCTTTTGAGTGCCAACGGCGGCACTCGGCAAAGAAAAGCAGCCGTCAACGGCGCTGCTCCGTTGACGGCGCCTTTGCCGAGTGCCGATAGTTAGGGCACTCGGCAAAGACATTTTTTATTTTTTTTCAAAAACTCTTTGCCGAGTGCCGCGGCGGTAAGGCACTCGGCAAAGACATTTTTTTATTTTTTTTCAAAAACTCTTTGCCGAGTGTAGCGGCGGTAAGGCACTCGGCAAAGACATTTTTTATTTTTTTTAAAAAAGCTCTTTGCCGAGTGCCTCCCCAGCTTGTCACTCGGCAAAGATTTTTTTGCTTTTTAAAAAAAATCTTTGCCGAGTGCAATGTCCTGCCACTCGGCAAAGTTTCCCAGCTTTGCCGAGTGCCATGACCATTGCACTCGGCAAATCAACCGAAATTGCATTTTTTTTTTTTTTTGCATTCCACTGACACAAACAGTTCAAATATATATCACATGTCACATATATATCGCAAACATCACAATAATCACATATATATCACAACGAAACCATTTTCACACATTATATCACAACCACAACTCAAATAACAACATATCGCAACCACAAGTCAAATATCACAACCACAAGTCACAAATTCACAACCACAGTCCATCAAGTCCAAGCACAAGTCACAACCACAAGTGAAGCTCAAGTCTAAGCACATGACGAAGCACAACTCAAAAAGGCGGCCTATGACACGATGGTGAAGCAAAGGCTCCATCATTCGATGATGCATGAGCGGGGTTATTCGAACCCACCGACGGAGGCTGCAAAAAGGATAAGAGGTTGCATGTGTGAGATTCATCTAGTAAGTTTCTATGTGAGACATTGGTGTATGTCATAGCTAGTGCAAGCATCTAGTAAGTTTCTATGTCAAGCATCTAGTAAATTGAGAATGTCAAGCATGGTTGTATGTCATAGCTAGTGCAAGTATGTAGTAAGTTTCTATGTCAAGCATCTAGTAAGTTTATATGTCAAGCATCTAGTAAGTTTATATGTCAAGCATCTAGTAAGTTTGTATGTCAACCATGGTTGTATGTCAAGGAAGCATCTAGTAAGAGTGAACTTTCATACTTACATGAGTGGCTGTAGAAGTAGGCGGTGGAGGAGCTGCCAACGGCAAAGGTACACCCCCTTGCTGGACACTCCGCATGAAGGCCTCCATTTCTTGCATCCTCCTCTCCTAGGCCGCGAACGCTTCCCTCTAGGCCTGCAGCTGCGCGCTCTGAGCCTCGACCACGAGCTTCTGGCCCAGTAGCTCGGCCTGCAATACAAACTTCAATGTTTCAGTAATGCAAATGTAACTTAGGTGTGCAAAGATGAACGTACGACGAGTAAAACAGGACGTACCTCGAGAGCGTCGACCCGCTGCAGTGACGGAGTAGGTCGTGGGCGTATGGGCTGGCTGGAGCTCGTGCTCCGTGCTCGGAGCACGTCAAGAGAGGGAATAGTGGTGGAGTCGATGGCGTCGTCTGCAATCCACAGCCGCCCATGCTTCTTGCCTGCTCCTAGCCTCATGACGGTCTCTGCATCAATGGGCTCAGTGCGCACATCATAATCTTCCCCATGGACCTTCCTCACCTTTGAGGTGTACTCTTGGACCTTAGTGTGCACAATCGGGTCGGAGTACACTTCGCGCGGGGCAGACGGGTCGAAGGAGACAAAGGAAGACGCCCTGCCCATGTGGGACATAGCCCATGCAGAGAACTCTGAGACCTCCATGCCCGGGTGTGCAACCTCCTGCGAGTAAGACGGCAAGATGGTGAGAAATAAGGCAGAACTCAGAGTCAAATAAGATAAAAGAAATCACTTACATATGCTTGTTTGTAGGCGGGGAGGCCGCGGCTGCCTTGATGGTGAGTAGCACCTCGCCTTAGCAGACGCTGGTCCCGCTGCCTCGCGTGGTTTTGAGCGAAGTCGTTGGACAACCACCTGTCCACGATCATCTCCCAGCACACGGAGTGGGATCAGCACCACCAGGGAATCACCTACAAGTCATCGATTATTTAACAAAGAAAAAGATAAAATTAAACCGACTTAATCTTAAAACGAATCATTATTAATGTTCCATGCATGTTCCAAGAAAGCATCTGTCCCATTCACCCACTCAATGTCAAAGTCACTCCTGCTTCTTCGGCCCGTGTACATCCACTGACGGTCTTCCATCCTTCCACATATACAGCACATAGTAATGTAACCATCAATTGCATCTACGCGGTGTTCCTACTCTCTAATAGGTGAGGATAGGTCCTAATCCCACCCGCAGATGCATAGATGAGGTTAGTTTCCATGCTCCGCTCCCTATCCGAGACAGAATTTCGGCAGCACCTCCCCGCCGTTCTCCTGATACACGTCCTACAAGGGAGAGTGTGTATCCAGAGAACAACAAGGAGGTGATGCCGAAAGTTTGCCTCAGACCGGAGCGGACCATGAAAACTAACCTCATCTACGCATCCGCGGGCTGTCCAAAAAATATGGACAATCCGAAACAGATATAGTCGTAGATATGCAAAGATCCGCATACCTCCGACCGTATCTGTTTCGGACGGGAGACGTCTAACTGGGTTACGCGACCTACGACCATGATACGGATAGAGGGGTTATACCTAAGGTGCCGGTGAGGTCAGGCTAGCGGGGCGGTGTCGAGTCGGTGCAATGGCGAGGCGACGCGGTGCAGGCAGACCCGCAACGCCCACGAAGACGATCGGGGTCCTTTGGTCCTCTCCGACGGATCCTCTGCAATATAAAAAGGCAACAGGTTAGTATTTGTTAAAAAATTCGACAGCACCTCCCCTGCACGGTGAGGTTTCCACAACTGATGTCACTGGACAGGATAGATAGAGCAGCTGTTCTGCAGTATGTGCAAAATGCCTTCACCAAATATACCAATTGAGCTACATCCCCAACATTTGTTCAATTTTTTAATATGATTAATTTTAATTATTTTACTTGCATCGCTAAATGTCACCGCAGAACTGATAATGCAAAAAGTGACTTCACTCGAACAGTTAATGTGACTTCTGACTTGGATGCCAATGTATATATTTGGGAAACTCAGACTCAGGGAATCGGAGGGAGTTTAGACAGGGAGGAGCAAGGAATCGGAGAGGAGCAAGAACAGCAACAGGGGAGGTTCTTGGACGAGTACAGAGGAAGGAGATGACGGGTTCAGTTCTGTTCGATGCCTCTCCCCGATGGCTGCTCTGGTCTTTATTCTGCCGCTCCCGTCCCAGCCCAGCTTGGGCTGTCGCTCCTGTCCCTGCCCAGCTTGGGAGCCCATCCAGCGGCCCAGCTCCGGACACGCAGCCACCGCATGCTCTGGAACGCCTCACCCACACCACCGACCCGCACGCTCTGCCTCGCCTCTGCACCTGGCAACCTTCTCACCCATATCAATGGTGGTGTGCCCTAACCCCATTCCTTTCCAGTCCTTCGTTCTGATCCACTACATCTTCAGCCTCTTCAGCAGAAACAATGAGCTCGGACACCAAGCTCATACCGCGGCTGCTGCTGATGGCACAAACAACTGCGCGCAGTGAACACACCACTTGCTCCAGAAGTTGGATCACTTCACCATCACGCATACGTCCATGGCCTTCTGACTACAGCGCATTCTGGCAGAGGCCGAGTGACGATGTCAAATAGCCGCATAAGCAATTTAACTGTGGACAGCTCAAAAGAAAACAGCAAAAACAAAAAGGTTCTACCGTGAGCAGTTCAAGCAATAGGGAATAAAGTAATATGATTAGCAATAGAAGTTTTGAATAGTTTAAACACTATTGCTTGAATCTGACAGCAACATTAGGAAGAGATATGCTGGTGAAAAGACTGCATACTGCAGCAGCTATGATTGAATGAACACATAAACAAGGAGCACGGAAAGTTCTGGTGGTGGTTGAAAATTAGAGAGCCGGACATTGCAGAATAGAGTGCCACAGCTGAGCGTTTCAAACACTGGAAAGTCTGTACTACCATTAACACCCCACAAAGGAAGAAGCTCCTGAAGATTAGTGACTATGCTAGCAGACTGAAGGCAAAGCACTGGAGAAAGGCCTGTAGGAACAGAACTAAAACTGAAGTTCGAGAGTCACAAGAAAATCCAACCTTGATCAAATTGAGACCAATCAAGCTGAGATATTGGACACCGCTTCACAAGATCAAGTAGCATCCATCTCAAACAAAAACCACATCCAAAGATTAAGAATTTTAGATGAATTTCAGAAAATTCGAAAAAACATAAAGAAGGAGAATTTGGTCAAAAACATGGACTTGAGGTGCTCGTGACGGGTTTAAAAAAAATTGATCATGAACAAGAATTTTAATTAGTCATGAACAAGAATATAATATGCTAGGTGTTACAACTCTTTCCACGAACAAGAATTTTAATTAGTCTGATACTTCCACCAACTTATTATGCCAAATCAGCATGGTTTCAGCACTACTAGTACAACATGTGAGTTTCTGAATCCTCAAGCCTTCTTGGTGAATAACTGAGTCCAAAAAAAAAAAGAGTCCTGCAGGACAAAAACATTTCAACATTGTACAATTGAGCTAGTTGCCCTTGCTTCATGTGAGTTTCTGATTTCTAAGCATACATCGAAATACTGGATGTCATACATTTTTGAGCTAGTTGCCCTTGTTGTATCTGTCATATTTGTTTTTGCTTCCTGCTATATGCATTAGGATTTCAAAAAATATGCCAGTGCGAATATCACCAAGTACGGCATCAGCTTCGAGATCAATAAGCTGATGCTGTCATTTTTAGTTGCATTTGACTACACATTAAGCTATGCTGCCATTTTTTCATTTCAATGTTTTTTTTGCAGATTCTCTACGTAGACTCTTCATTCCGGATGTGCAAACCCCCGACACAAAACCCAAAATCGTTGGATGGACCAAGAAGTTGCTATCTGAGGCTATCAAGGCTGACATCAATCATGATGGGTCATTTGGCAAGCTCAAGAGGTATGCAAAAAAAGATATATGGAATCACGATCACTGTTCAGTTTTATTCAGCGTGTTTTTGTTACAGAAAATATGGAGCATGCTGCATTATCCTAGATTAAATTATGGCATGCTATCCCAGTTTTATTCCTGCCAAACGCAATTTTTATGTAATCAGAACGGGGGCAGGGCAAGTGTTGAGCAAGCATCATGATCTGTACTGAATAATTGCTCTAGCAAAACTAAACATGCCAGGGTCCAGGGGTGTAGTGATCTCGCAATATTTCTGCTGCCTTTACAATATCTTAACATGTTCTGTTCTTCGCAGGCTCATTGTGGCAATGCAAATTGAGTAGATTAACAGAACTCAAGGTTATGGGGAAATCTGGGATTTTTCCGGACCAACTTTCTCCAACTTCTGGTGGCTAGTAGCCAGTAGGTTTATGTTATTTTCAGTTCCCTTTGTCAGATAATGAGCAGTACTACTGCAGTACTGCCTAATGTAGTAACGTTGGCATGTACTACCTATTAGCATATATTAGTTAACTAACTCTGAATTTGGTTGACATTGTGTAAAGTTCTCACAGCTACCTGTTACCTACCTTACCAATCTGAGTGTCATAGCTTCTTTTATTTTATTGTCCCTATACCATGGGTTTTTTCCCCATTCATATATGTTGCTTCTGAAAACATGAATGATGAATTGCCTTTTAGCTTGTGTTCTGGCACCGGTCATGGTACCACTACCAGGAAACTGAGTTGTTCAGTTAGGGGTGTAATAACCGTGACAGGGTAGCTTTTTAGTTTCCCTGGTCATTCCGCTATAAGTTGCTATGTCTAAACGCTGAAAATTATGGTTTAATCACTTGAAGCCTCCTTTCCCCAGCTGGCAGCCAATTTTCCTGGTCGGCGGACAGCTATAGCTTGGCAGCTGCCACGGCTGCCTCCCTGCGTCCTATCCTGGCTGGGTGGCTGGATGCGTCCAATTCTGGTTTAATTGCTCAGTTCAAACCAATAGATTAGCCCAATCAATATATTAGATATGCATAAAGTAAGTAATATATTTGTTATGTATCTGCAATTTGTTTTTTTTATCTGCGCTGGTGACTAGCAGTGCCAAGTTCTTCAGTAGGGCTGCCTCTCAGTTTTTTCTTTTGTCCCTTTTTTTCCTGAGAGGATGCTTTTTCTTTTGTTAGATAGCAAGGTGCTCTATGGTCCTGCATCGATTTTTCATTCTCTGCTTGATCTGTGTTTTTGCCCACTACATAAACAGGTGTGATGCATAAAAAATGAAAACAGAGCTCTGTATTTTTTTTTGCAAATAAACCAGGGGGGGGGCGGTTGCAGTGGGATGCAAATGAACACAGACACAACATAGCAATACTGATCAAAGTGTAATTCCATTTGACAATCGATATAATACTGTAAGTAGGATTCAAAAGTTTCATGCACAAGTAGTCTAAATACACATCTGACAATATAAGTTTTTTTTTTCGCCACTGGGGCGACACCACCAGCGGTTCAGCAACTATAGATTGATGGGCAGCGGTGGCGTACCTCGTCGACCGGGAGCGGATCGGCGCGCTGGCTCTCGGTCTTGGTGTGGGCGGGCGCGCGGTGGCTCTCTTGGCCTTGGCCACGGGGTGCTTCGGCGGCACACTGCTCCTGGCTCAGGACTTGCTCCGGCCGCGCAGCTTCCCAAGTCTGGCTGTGCCGGGTGCGGGACGCTGGGGGCGCGCAGTGAGGGACGCCGGGGGAGCCCAGTGAGGAACGCCAGGGGCGGGCAGTGCGGGACGCCGGGGCGGCCGGGCGCAGCTACAGGAGGCCGCCGGTGGTGGTGGCTAAGGTGGAAGAGGGGGGCCAGCGTGGGGCGCGGGGCGGCCGCCGGTGGGAGCTGAGGTCGGGGGAGGGACGGCCAGGCGCGGGGCGGCGCGTAGGCGGGGCGGCCAGCGGCGTGGCGGGCGGGCGGCGAGGTGAGCGGCGGCGGGGGTAAAGAACCGAGCGCGGGCGCAAGAGGGATTTTGGGGATTTTGGGCCGACGTCGGGTTTTTAGGTTTTGGGTCTTTGCCGAAGGCCCAGATCTAGGGCCCTCGGCAAAGATGTTTTATTTTTTTTAAAAAAAAATTCTTTGCCGAGTGCCCCTGGCCCAGCACTCGGCAAAGACAGTCTTTGCCGAGTGCCAAGCTGGCACTCGGCAAATTTTCAGTTTTTTTTTTTTTGACCCCAAATTTTTTGTTGGGCCCGCCTATATTGTTTACAACTTCATATTCAAATTTGGTGCTTTTTCAAGTTTTTTTTTATATTTGGTTGATTAATTTGATTATGTTGAATTTTTATATATAATTCAAATTTGAACCGCAAGTGCATGGAATATTGTAATCTAGTGCTTCGAAAAATGTTATTCATGATATTTGGTGTATGTTGAGTCTCTATCTATGAACTCGCATCAAATTTCGGCGCATTTTCTTCACGTAACATGACGAGCCACTTGCTCAAACATTCTCAATTTATATAAAGTCCATACATGTCGAAAATCAACGACACTTATCGACAAGTTTCATGTTTTTCGCTTGTGTGGATGTTATATAAATTGAAACTTTTCGAGCAAGTGGCTCACGTCGGATGAAGAAGATGCGCGAAATTTGATGCGAGTTCGTGGATAGAAACTCAACATACACCAAATACCATGAATAATATTTTTCGAAGCACTATATTACAATATTCCATACACTTGCAGTTCAAATTTGAATTATATATAAAAATTCAACATAATCAAATTAATCAACCAAATATAACAAAAAAAACTAGAAAAAGCACCAAATTTGAACATGAAGGTGTAAACAATGTAGGCGGGCCCAACCAAAAATTTGAGGTCAAAAAAACAACTGAAAATTTGCCGAGTGCCAGCTTGACGCTCAGCAAAGACTGTCTTTGCCGAGTGCTGGGCTAGGAGCACTCGGCAAAGAAATTTTAAAAAGAAAATTTTAAAAACAGTTAAAAAGTCTTTGCCGAGGGCCTAACGGTAATGCCCTCGGCAAAGATTGACGGCAGGGGATGGAAGTCGTGTCAGGCGATGTTGCCGAGGGCGGCCCTTTGCCGAGCCCTCGGCAAAGAATTATTGTTGCCGTGTGCTTGTCTTTGCCTAGGGCTGGTCCTCGGCAAAGACTCTTTGCCGAGTGCCCGAGCATTTACCGTCGGCAAATCCTCGTGCCCTCGGCAAAGATGCTCTGTCCGGTAGTGCAGACGGTGGCTGACATGATGAAGGGCAAGACTCCGGAGGAGATCCGCGAGATATTCAACATCAAGAACGACTTCACCAAAGAGGAGGATGAGATCCGCAGGGAGAACCAGTGGGCCTTCGAGTGATCGCGCTCTACAATGCTGTTAGTGCTAGTCTACTTATACTAAATATATGGTCGTAATGGTTGTATGCCTTTTGGAGGTGGTTACTGTTTGGATTGGATGGATGTTAAACTGAGTGCTACTTCATGAGAGAGAGATGAAAGAATGTGTCCTAAATGAGATTGTCAAATGTCAATTAGTCGTAGTCATAGCACTTTGTTGAATCAGGAAATAGAATGCTTCCTCTTTATTGTGTTATTGCTAGTCAATGCCGCCATTGAATGTTGGGCGTTTGCTAGCCATGAGCTGGGCTCTTATTTTTAGCTACCACCACGCACAATCACAGACAAATCGGCGGATGCGGCGCCGCGGGAGGCATCGGCGCGTCGGCCCATGCAAGGGGAGGAGGCGCCGTTGGAGGCGGCAGCGCAGCCGTCACTGGTGGAGGTGGCGCGCCGTGGGAGGAGGCGGAGGCCGGGCCGTGAGCCAGCTAAGGAGGTGGAGGGCGCCGGTGCTGGCGGCAGGGGCACTGCCCTAGCGGGGCAGAGCGGACCGCCTCAATAAGTTCCTTGTTGATCTTTGCTTTTACGGAATATAAGCCAGAAGCATTGTTGAATCAATGAAGCACGGTGAAGAATTTCAGAATTTAGACGAAGAGAAGAGACAGGTATTTAATAATATCCTGTCTTCTCTCAACTGTTAGCGAGTTGACTGATCTCGTCGTGTTGATCTTGTTGTTGTCCTGGTCATCTGGCCCAAATCACTAATCCTTCGGCTGTATAACTATTGGGAGTCATGGAATTTATTGACCTTCAGCGGACTACGCCAAAGAGTGACCAATAAGGAAAGATATATGGTGTTAACGTGTTCTGGAGTTGCAGCTGACAAATGATACCATCTATCTAAGGAGAGCTCGTTGAAAAGTTCAAACAGAACATGGTCTTGCTCAACGTATATACAGTTTATCCACGTATTGATCAAAGCCTTTCAAGTCTTGCACACAACTAGTACTTGTTTGAAATACTGTCGCTTCAGCAGCTCCAGTTGAACGCAGTCTACATCAAGCATAATCAATTTGTTGGACTGGTCCTTGAACCTCACATGCAGACAGTAAAATTGTGTATTTGATGCACACTTTGATATAAGAGGGGATCAAATAATGTTTGTTTAAAGATAATGTCTATTCACTGTTGTCGTAGCATTACTGTTGAATCAACTAGCTAGTAGTCCTAGTACAGTGGTCTCTTGTGGTGCGGTGGTAATCTTCAACGCCGAAATACATGAACTAGTAGATTGTACATAGTTCAAGAAGGGCTGCTTTCATGAGAGAGAGATCATAGAATGTGTCTTAAATGAGATTGTCAATTAGTCTTAGTCATAGTCATAGCACTTTGTTGAATCAAGAAATAGAACGCTAGTCAATGCCGCCATTGATTGTTGGGCGTTTGCTAGCCATGAGCTGGGCTCTTATTTAACTACCACCACGCACAATCTGAAAATCACATCCATACATAGTCACATAGAAACAATAGCAAACATACCAGCTCAACTAGTACAAGGTTTTGCTCTCTTCATTGCCTTATTATCAGAATATATATGGCTATGGATATAGTGTTATCGGTGTTGGCAAGTGAGATTGTAAGCCGTTCAATCTCCGCAGTTATTGCTAAGTACCATAAGCAGAGCTCTATGGATAAGCTTGCAAGGCTGGAGCAGGTGCTCCTTAGAGCGCACACCATTGTTGAGGAAGCTGAGGGCAAGCAAATCTCCAACCAGGGAATGATCCTGCAACTGAGGCAGCTCAGGAAGAACATGTACAGAGGCTATTATGTTCTTGACACCTACAAGAGGCGTGGTGCTGCGGTGAGGCAACCCTTAAACTTCAACAAATTCCGGGTTGTATTTGAGAATCTAGACGATAGCGTCAATAATATGAAAGAATTTGTTATATTTTTAATGGATTGCCCTCGCATTTTTCGGAAACCATATAGTACATATTTGTTCATGGAGAGGTGCATGTTTGGTCGGCATGCAGAGAAAGAACAGATCATTAACTTCTTGCTGCAGACTTGTGATTCGTCTCTGCG